AAGTATTTTTGCTTTATATATTATGTATGTATGTGGTTTGTGTATGTATGTATGTATGCATTTTTACCATTGTTTTTATTTATCCAGAGTTTTTTTTACACACTAGCTCTATTGATCTAATTATTATATCATATAAGCAACACATTTCATGAGGAATCTGTGGGTTATTTTTGCAGCTATTTGAAGGGCTTGGTGTGAAGACTCCATATAAGATAAAGCGATTTCCTTCCAAGTGTAAGTATCTATAGGCACCATACTCCAATATTCAGATTTTAATATTATAGTGCCATCAAAATATTTTTGTGAAAGTTCAGCTTTTGAAAGCTGCTTTCTTTATAGTTTAGAATATCTGCATAGATTTGAGTCTGTTAATTTATTTACTTTGAACAGCATACATGGATCCAAAACCAGCTGCTTCTGAAAATTGTGTTCTGCATGGTTTGAGTTGGCCATCAAATATGGCTCTCTAATAACCCACTTAAAATAATTTGACCAAATTTTACGGAAAAGGGTGCTGGCATAAAGGGCTTGATGAGCTGTACTATTTATGTCAATCCACCTTTAAACATAGCTGCTGTACCTAAAATTAGAAAAGCCTCTTATAAATGCATCTATATGACCACTTAACAGAATTTGGACCAGATTTGCCAGAAAGTGTCCTAGCTTGAACAGCTTTTAGATTTATACAAATGTAGACTTGCGAACTCACATAATTCGATCACAAGTCATACTCAAATGACTCATCAGTTACAAATTCAAGGAATAATAGCAAAAACAACAAAAATATGACTGTTGTCAATTCTGGAAACTGACTTGTCACTTTGATCATGATCTGGGTTTTAGATTCAGTGAAGTTGGTCAGAGCTGTTCCATTAAAACATACATGGTACCCAGGGAAGGTATTTTTTTTAAAAATATGCTAGGGTACATCGATTCACAGATAAGAAAATTCTAAATTGCATCAATGGGTGAGTACCCTACTTTAAAAGTGCATTTCTTGTGTTCCATGGACATTTTAATGGAACAGCCATCAAAGCTAACTTTACAGGAATACATTGGATGCTTTAGACTGCCCATATTTTTCATGTAAAAGTCTTCATGATCAACAAGTTGATAGCATTTTCTATAAATGTGTCAAACAAAAAAATTAATGTGAAAGGAACAGTAAGTCTCAGAAAAGTTTAAACAGCACAGAAATATAAAATGGAATATTCAGATTCTGGGATAAAAGGTAGGAAAGGAAACAATTACCATCTTGAAAATCTTGGTATTGCTACTCATCCTGACTGACAGGTAATCTGGCCAAGGAATGTGTACCAGAATTCTTTTGATGTCTAGTTGATCCTAAATGAAAATGGTGCTGCTTGCCTCTTCAATAAGGTCACCACAGTGGCCATTTCAAAAATCGTATTTATACTTAATCGTCAAATCAAAATCAACATTCACAAAACAACTTCTCAAATGACGCTGCTCAAACATCCAGTATGACCATCATAGTGTCAAATTTAAAAACCTTGTTACCACTACTCCTGAATGAAGGATCATTGATATTTTGCTTTCACCAAAATACATGTGTTTTCTAAATTACAATGGTGCCAATCTGAAATCCAATATATCCACCACAGCAGCTAATTTGAAAATATTGTTATTGCTGGAGAATATTAAAAGTTGTTAAAAGAAAGAAATGGGTTTTATGTTGAATTATTGGAGAAATAAAATTTCAGCCATTAGAGCACAAGTCTGTTTGGGGCTTTTGTTAGTTGATATCATTGATGGAGGACCAATTCCATGTTAAATGGAAAAAATTGAGCAATATAATGTTGTCTAAATGATTCTTCAACAAGGTTTCAAAAGATCTAATATGTGATCTATATAAAAGTTGACATAATTTGACCAAATTTCACAGAAAGCATTTTGGTACAAAGCCTTTCAAGTTTGCCTTATGATCCTGATTTTCTTTCCATTCTGAATGACATTACATAAAAATATAAAAACCTAAATATGTTAATGCATCATGCTACCTAATTGCTCTTTAATTTGTCATTTGTGTGGGTGTTTGGCAGTTAGGTCTTTATTACCTGATGTTTAAACTTTTTCCAAGCATTTAAACTTCCTCATTTTAAGAGAAATTTGATTTTGATATACAAAATGTAAATCTTTTGTTTTCTTTTCTTCTTTTTCATAGCTGATAAGAGTTCCACTGGGCTGCTAGAATTTACCAGCAAGCCTGAAGCCATAGAAGGTTTGATGGCTGCAAATCATGCCAGCATGCCTAATCCTGGTTCGTATACTTGTGGGTTTTTTTTTTTTTTTTTTTCAATAACTTGGGATTTGAACCTAGAGATTTTAAGACCAGACCCATTTCATTTTTCTTTGGCTGCTCCTTTCTCACTTGTTTTCCATAGGAGAAAGTACAGATCTGAAATATGTCAATTTTAGACCCTTTAGTGTATATTTTTGCTGTCAATGAGATACCTCAAGAAATGACTAAAAATGAACTTCAGACATCAAAAATAGAAGACTTAAAATATTACCATTTCATAATAGTTCTTTGTATGAATCAGACTGCTCCGTTGGTCTAAGTGGTTAGAGCATCTGCCTCTGATGTGGAAGGTTGCAAGTTTGAATCCCAGCTAAGTCATACCATGGACTTACGAACATTGTACTAGCAAATTCCTTGCTTGGCGCTAAGCATTAAGAGGTTATTGTTAGGACTGGTCGGGGTAATGTGACTGAGTGGGGACATGATGCTATATGTCTGCAACATGATGCCCCAGTGCTAGACATCACTATAAACTGCCACAGTAAAGATATCATATCAATATGACTAAAATTGATAAAGCTACATTAAAAATCTAACTTGTATACACTGCATGAATCATGGAATACGACTGAATTCACATGACCTGTTGTTTCGTGTCACTCACACAGTATACCTGTAGTACCTGACAAAATGATACACATTTATATAAAAAAAACATCATTAATATATAATAAACTTTTTAAAGTAATTTTAACTCTTGTCACAATTGTTTGAAATTCAATGAAAATTGGATACAGCATCTTATACCAAGCAAGACTGCAAACTTGCCAAGACTACTCAAAATTTCATGTTTCAATTTAGAGAGAAAATTAAGAACAAAGATCATTACAATTCGCAACCACTAAAGTCTCTTAAAAGATGTTATACTCTGAAGTCTCAGCTGATCTGTGATGTTTCTATCTTGACCCACTCCAAATGCATCAATATGTGCATGAAATATGTTTACAGAAATGACAATGTTCTCATTTTTAAAAGAGTGCAAGAATTTTTTTGACAAAATTAATTGAAGCAAGGCATGTACAAGCTAAATTTGTAAAATCTCAATCCCAAAATTGTTGTAAAATTTAGAAACTTCTTACCAATGTTATAATGCAGTTGTCAATTGCATTGGCACCAAATAGTGAAAATTGGTGCAAATTTATAGTCCTTGTTTTTTAAAATATGTCTAATACCAAAAGAAATCACCAATCCATATAGGTATTGAATCAAATGTTTCTTACAAAATTTACACTAAGTTCTCTCTCATTTTCAGCTGGGAAGGCCCCATACATATTCAAGTTGTGTTTTTCACATACATCAGTCGTGTAAAATGGAGGATGCAAACCATCATCCAAATAGTCAGGATTTCAGGATGGAACAAAGTCACATTGTCGTTAAGATGTTTTTCATGTGTACAAATTTGTAAACAATAAATCATGTATAGACTTGCTTTTTAAAGGTGTGAAAGCCCACACCTTATTCATTAGGCACTATCTTCATTTATGTCAATAATACTGTATTTAAAGTGCTAGATTGGAAAATGTAAAAACAGTTTAGTCATCATATTTTTTTAGTAAATTTTCTGTTAATGTCAGTAAAATTAAACTTGGGCAAGATCAATCTTTTGGGAAAAACTAAGGGTTTTCTTAAACAATAGAAGTGGAAATGTTCCTAATTGCCATATGAAGTGTGATTTTCTGTCATATAAATAAAATGATTGGAAGAATCTCCTTAAACAAATTTAAAATTACTGAGAAAATACACTCTGTGTTTTGATATTATTGTCTTAAATTGTTCTTCTCATTTTAGCTTTTACATGTTTGTATTCTTGAACATTACAGTAACCATAAAATATTTTCAGCTTTCAGTATAAAGGTTAAGATAAAAGTATTAATTTTGCATTTGTAAACAGAAATGCTTGCCCATTAATTGTTTTATCATTCAAGTGCATTTGACAAACTGGTAGAAAATTTTATCAATACAATTTTCAACTGCATCATTAAATATTTTAGCCATTTTATCATCAATTGCTGCTCTAAATCGTTGTCAAATCAAAATATTGTATTTACTATCATTAACTTGTATTCTGAACTACAGGAAAATAGGAAATAGTTTCATGCTTGAAGACTAAGTTTGATGATTTTGTGACCAGCTGTAGTTTGATACTGAAATAAAAAATATAATGTTGTCTTGTTTCTATCTTGATCATTCCATACAAGAGTTTCCACACCCAGTTGTCTTGCTATGGTGCAGCAGGCTGGAACAGCAAGTTGGAAGATCTTATTTTATCTCATCTGTACAAAGCCCTCAAGAGCTTGTACCATAACCATGGCTTCACTGTCATTTCCAGTTGGGTTATCCCCAGTATTTATTTTGTTTTCTTGCAATTCTTTCTAGTTTCAGGAATGGTGTTTGAATACCCCAGAATGTAGGTCAGTGACAATTGTTTGTACAATAATGACTTGAGGACAGATTGACCCAGTTTTTTTTCTTACTGGAAAACTTAAAACTATAGGTTAGCATTGTTAATAAACTGCTTTGAAAAGTGCAGGAGTAAATTCCAAGTGAAACATAAAAGGGAATGTGTTGGACTCTTTCTGGAATGTAATTTGTAGTACATTTGTCATTTCATTAGATTTTTGGTGTCAGATTGTGAATAAATGAAAATCTTGTTAGTGCTACTCCTAAATGAATGGTTGACTGCTCCAGTGGCTAAGTGGTTAGAGTGTCTGCCTCAGATTCAGGAGGTCATGGGTTTGAACCCCAGACGAGTCATACCAAAGAGTTATAAAATCGGTTCTAACAGCTGCGCTGCCTTGCTTAGCGCTCTGCATTAAGAAATTAGTGTTAGGACTGGTCAGCCGAGTGTCTGGCTAATCTGACTGGGTGAGACATCATGCTATATGTCTGCGGCATGATGTCCCATTGCTAGACATCACTATAAACTACCACACTGCAGACATTTTAATGATGTGACTGAAAAGTTTTATACGCTAAGTTAAAAATCCAAATCACAAACATACACTTAAATGGTCATATCACCATGGGATTTTCACATAAAGATTTCTTATGACATCTTGTTGGTCTTAAATCATGCTAATACATCTTCATCATAAAATCTTGATATGACTACTACTCCTGAACCAAAAGTCATGTTGACATGAGGTTTTCACCAGGAAACTTGGATTGTCTAGACTAACCTACAGCTTCCATGATAGTTAGGGAAAAATAAAAGCCTGGAAGAAGGGATGTTTTCTTATCTGCAAGACAAAATATAAACATAAAATTTAAAAAAGTTTTAATTGTTGACTACCATACATATTGTTATTGTGGATCACCAAAGGTGGCATGACAAACCTCAGCTCTGAACCTCCTTTAATGAAATCCCATGTAAAGATGAACAATATGGCTGAATTTATGAATCAGCTTTTGTGTGGGATATTCTTTTTATAAAGTTTTACTTATTCAGTCGGGGAAAATCTGTAAATGAAAATAGAACTAATCTGATGCCAAATACTTAAGTCACAGTGGCCATATTGACAATCATGTCATGCACTACTCAAAATGGATGCTCACATCAACATGAGGTTTACACTAAAAGACTTTGTCATGTAGCTGCTGCTGACAGTGTTCCTGAACCAACATCCAATATGGTCACCCTGGTAGCTAGCTTAAAACTATTTTTATTGCTACCCATCCTGAACAGAAAGTTATCTTTGAATCTAAATGAAATTGGTGATGATCTGGTGTATAATATGATCACCATAGTGACCATGTTAAAATTTTAGGTGACTACTGGATGGTTCTGACAGCACAGGGTTTCCAATGATTTCAAATGTCTGGTTGGTTTTAAATGAAAACAGTAGTCAACTAAATATGGTTGCATTGACAGCTATCTTGAAAATGTCGCTGTCATTACACCCTTTGAAAGGATGGTTGTATTGATTTTAGGTTTACACCAAAAGACGTTGAATGATGTTTACTTGGTCCTAAATGAAAATTATCCCAATCTAACATGCTGTGTGACCATTGTTAATTTTAATTTTGAGACCTTGTGTATCATGACATTATTAAAGTAAACTTACTGGTCTTTGTTTTTTACCTGCGTAAACCAAAGTTATGGGGAGGAGTAACAAGTCTGCTTGTCTGTCTGTCCATCTTTTGGACACATTTCTTTAATATATCCCGATCCTTTAACATGTTCTAATGAACTGAAAATGCATTTTTGTTTCTATGGTGGTGACCAGACATATATAAGATGGTACCACTCCAGTGGCATAAAAGTTTAAGTGTCTGCCTCGGATGCATCAGGTCGCATGTTTAAACCCTTGCTGAGTTATACCAAAGACTTTTTAAAAAATCGTACTAACAGTTGTCTTGCCGTGAACTCGGCATTAAGAGGCTAATGTTAGGATTGGTCGGTCAGGTGTCAGGATAATGTGACTGGGTGGAATATCATGCTACGTGTTTGCAGCATGATAGCACAGTGCTAGACATTACTATAAACTGTCACACTGCAGACATCGTAGTGATAGGACTGAAAAATTGTTAACTGTGTTAAAAATCCATATCACAAACACATATATAATTTTTTTTTAACCTTTTGACAATTATTCCCCAATTTGGTTTCTTGCACTCATTAATAACAAGTCCTCATCAATTACCTTCCTGCTTTCAAATTCAAGGTTTTTACTGCCACTTCAGGTACTATCAACTTTTCACAGATCTTTATGTTTATAACCTTCCTCAAATTTTCTATTTGCATCCCAAACAGCAGTATTCATCAACTCTTGAAAGTTGTTCTTGACGTTGTTAGTGTTCTTTCACTTGTCTGATGTGTTTGTCTCTACATACTTCAATCAAGGTTGCTAACTGAATATGTTCAACCTAAGTAGTTGTCAGTTTCCTTCTCAAGGTAGAATTTGATATCCATGTAGTGGACATCTGTTTTATCTTTTGGTGTGCAGAACAGTTTAGAAGCAGTTTTAATACAATGTTTATGCATAGATGACATACCATTTTGATCTGAAACCAACTTTTCTGAAATGGTTATACAAATGTACGAGTGTCTCCAAAGCCACATCAATGATTTAATCATAAGAACTTTTATATATGTAAAAATACTTTTCTGTCTAAAATCTGGTATAACAAAGGGAATCAAATCTTAACAGATTAGCTCACCTTATCCTGCAAGGTGGCTTTCTGTAATCCAGCTTATGCATTAATTATCAACAGTCCTTTATACACTGGAATTTACACCTTTTATCAACTATTCATTATTAATTTTTGGTGCTATAAGAAGTCCAAACGTAGTTAAGTGTATTGAATGCTACATTCATGTGATTTTCAGTAAATTTCGCGATATCTATGCAGTTTGCTATTTCGTTCTTGTCCATGTGATTATGTCAGTAACGGCACTGTTCATTGCTGTATTGTTTGCAGATTATTTCTTCGGAACGCGTGTTGGTCTAATTGAACATTTTATATTTTATATGTATACTTTGTTTGTTTCTCATTAAGTAGTTAAATGATGGCAGAGTGGTCTAAAGCGGTCGTCTTTACATATTTACCGATCACTGTCATCTCACCTCTGTCCACCTGGGCTAAAGTTTCGGGTTCTGCAAATAAGGGTATGTGAGAACGCTTGATATACAATATACTTTACGCTGCCAAAGCTGCGACAAACCCATCCAGCCGTCAGGACATTTGATATACGGTCCAGGTATTAATCGAGACACTATGCAGGGCTGCAGAACGACAAGTCCGGGTCTCTTAGTCCCTTATCTTTCACGGCCGAGAAATCTTATTGCCCGCTGATGCAATAACTACACACTAAACGATATTGATCGTCTTTGGATACGTGAGAATACTCGTGGAGAAAACATAGCAGCAATCATGCTTTATTTTTGAATTCCTTGGCATACATTTTCTTCCACTTACTTTCGTCTTTCAAAGAAGGTATCTCTGTTCCTGACAGTGGCCTTTAGTGTGTGGCTAGCACAATCGCCTCTGTCGTATCAGCTACTTTATTATCGGTCACTTAATGCATGTTCTACCGTTCTGTTTTCTGGTAAAAATTTTAAAAACATTGAATTCTTATCTGTAAAGTAAAAAAATATTCCATCCATTAAAGATTGTAACACTTTTGAAAGTTTGACATTAGGATTTGGAAGTATGTATGCCATCCAAACTTCCTAAGAGACTATCGTCTTTACATAAAGTCAATACCGATATCCTCCCATAAGGTACAGTTCGTTTGATGTCCATTTAATTTCACCTCAACACTCCTGAAAGAAGACCTTTCATCGCTCCAACCATGCAGGAATTGACATTGTCCAACTATTGGGTTATCAGCATTGGAAGCAATCATCCTTTTTAAGAGAGAACTTTTTCTTGCCTCAATCATTGTTACTTCAAGTGGATCGTTCCTTTCAACACTTTCGAACAAAATTCGCATACTCAATGAGTTTAAATGATTTGTTGATTTGTTTTTTAATCGGGGGCATTCACTAAGGTGAGTAATCAACAAACACAAATGTTCACTAACTTGGAGGAAAAGCATTGTTCCCTTATTTTGTAAGATCTGTTGAGAAACTTGATTGTGTTTATCGGGATGTTGTACAAGCTTCAAAATGGACTTGGATGACATTTCTTTTTCGGCGTGCAATATTTACTTAGATCTTATAATACTTGTTTGACAGCAAACAAAGACGACGAAGGAGATTGAGAATGAATAGCTTTAGAAACGTGTGCGTGCGTGCGAAATTTCATCAACAGATTATGAAACACTTGTTTAATATCAGGCATCATTAATAACTGGTAAAGGGAGGAGACTGCAGATACTGGGCGTGACTTCAGGTCAAGGCTTCCTTGGGTATCTCAGCTTTCTAACAGTGCCTTAATTTTTGGTCTAGTCGAATCTCAACTCGCTTCGTCTATATTCGCTTTTTTATTTCTTGACATGGGTTACTTTAATGAGATTTCATCGTTACAGCAAATGAATTATTATTCCTAGAAATTCCCTGTCACTAGGTTTCATGTTCATTTGTTTACTGATGGTTTAGATCATAATTCTTGGATCTGCGATTTTGTGTCAAAGCTACTTTATATTTTTGAAAACTCGTTGCGTTTGATGAGGAATGTGAATGATTCCTTACAGTAATTGACGTGCCGTCAAATTCAAATGTAATACACCTCAGAGAGTTGCTTATAATAAACGGGAACGCACTTGTATATATTTGCGATTTATTGTATATAGTACGCGGATCAGCCTTTTGGAATAATGAGACTGGAATGAGGTAATGTTGAATAATATAATAGATGAAGAGAGTGGCTGTAGCTTTTATGCGTTTTTTAGACAGGAAAACAAAGTGGATTATGTGTCCTAAATAATTAGGATTATTGGGTTTTAAATTGACCAGTAAGTATGATACGTGGCAAACGTGTTTCATGGTCGTAATCCAGTCATAGTGATCCTAATTGTTTAGCCAACAACATTTAGACATCGGTTTTGTCTTTAGAACTTTAAAAAAAAATGTACATAATACGCATTGAGACACGTCGTACTATATGATTTACTTTGTTAAAATACATATTGGATACAGTAAATAATACTAGCGCTGTGATAAGGTCTTTTTTTTTTGTAAAATAAATCTAATTTTGTCTTCATAATCCCCCAAAGTAACGTCAAAGAATACTAGAGTCCAACGTGATCCCGTCATCTTTGGGAGGAATATCGTCTGCAAACAAAACATGTTATACTTGACTTTCTTATAGTAAGATGTAATCAGAGTGCCACTCTTTATGATACGTTGTGTAGCACGACATAACAAAAGTCATTACCGCTCCGGTGGCCTATCGGTTATAGCATTCGTCTCGAAAGCGGGAGGTCGTGGGTTCGAACCCCGGCCGAGTCATGCCAAAGACTTTAAAAATGGTACTAACAGCTGCTTCGCTTGGCTCTCAGCATTAAGAGGTTAAAAATTGTTAAAAATCTAAATCACACACACACTCGCATAAAAGTTATTTGTTTTTAATCAAACGTTTGACCAATTCGGTTTTGCCTAAACCGCTAACAAAAAGAATGACGACGCTACAGGTTTTTGACGACCTGACCTTTCGTCAATCAGTTTGAGAACGAATGATGCAGCCATGACTCTATAGTTTACGACAGGTCACGCAAAACATTTTTGTTTACAGAGGAAGAATCTACAGATGAACGCCATATCACAGAAATTTCAAACAAATGTTTTTTTTGGGTTTTTTGTTTGTTTTTTGAATTTATTTTATCTTTCTAGCGACAGCACGCTCCATCAGGGTTCTTTTTGCATGGTGATCTACGTCTTGTCTCCAATCTTCGAATCCAAGATGTTTCTAGTCAGATAAATCCTTATAGTCTAAAATTTGTTGGTATACATCACATAATGGTTGGAAAAAAAATAAATTGTGGACAAATCTCTACACGGGTAGACGGGAATTCACAAGTAATCAATACTTTCAACATTTTGAGTTTTCTTTCGTGAACAGAGAAAGTGGTTCTCCAGCCTGATTACAATAAGATCTTCGCTGTCTTACGTGAAGATCTGATTACGACCGATTAAGAGTCATGTTCTGGTGACTTTTGAATTCGCCAATGGAAATGCAGCTTTCAGAAAACTAAAAGGAATCAAATCTTTCGGTACACGTTCATGTCATGCTCTTCATCCACACTGCTCAGTCTCCAAACGCGAAGATCAAAGACTTCATCTGATTAGTTGATACAATTAACGCTTATGGTGATAACAGGTTACCATAATATGGCTCCTAAGTGGTCGCTGTCAGATCTTCATGAATAACAGTGGAGATCTGATTTAATCAGATTCTCATCATGACTAATATGTCATATCATGGAATGGTAATGCATACAAAGTGAGTCTAAAGGTAAAACGAATTCCAAGAAGAACAATAAATAATACATGCAAGATACGTCGTTCCAAATTTAAAGGAGCGTCATCTTGTGGAATCAATTCTTGTTATTATCTAACTTTTTAATCATTCCATTGACATCTTATGACGGAATTTGTTACTAACACTGCATGCAGAAGTTGTCACATTGCATATCCTATAACGTGTTTATAATTTGGCAAAGTCTTTGGAAATGTCCGAACGTTTGAACATTTTTCAGATAAAAAGCCAATGATTAAAATGTCTGACATTATGGATAGAGTTGTTCTTTGCATTTCACTGAATCAATGCAAAATAGTTGTAAGTATATTCTTGCAACTCCAAAAAGGGAGATTATTCTGAATACGCTTTTGTAAAATACCAAGATGAGAATCATTAGGTATTGGCTGTGACAACCAATTAAAAGACTTTACAGTTTGTTCCTGTATTTGTATGTTCCAGTTGGTGAGTTGCACACCACAACTGAAACTATGTATTCTGTCTCTTTCACCCATGTTCACAAATCCGGCTCTAGCTAAAATTCAACAACTGGATCCTTACAGATGTTCTGGTCATTTTCTGGTGAACGTGGTGAATCGTTTGGAAAAATCATAAAAGTAATGTAAAACCATTCGAAACGCAAATATTCATCTCATTCGTGTTTTTCCGTAATAAGACTTGATTACTTCGAGAGCAACCAGTTTCATTTTAGTTTGCGGTGTGAAATGTAGTTAGAAACAGTGGCAATGATGCCCATAATGACATAAATTTCTATAGAGCATCGAGCAGGGCACAGCATTATATCCGTCTGTTTTCTGTGTCGAAAAATTATCCCCTTCTTTGGAACTCTCCTATTTTTGTTAAAATGGAAGGTGGTGCCTATACTGAACAGTGGTGTCGTCTGGAAGTTTCGCTCGTATCTTGTAGAAAATATACAGTTCCTCAGACGGAGGAGAAACAATAATTTTTCGTTTCAATGAGGAGAAAACATGGAATGCTATAAGTTTCACGGTGGAAGAACTTTGTAATTAATCAAGCCTTCTAACTAGCAAACGAGTAGCAGAAATAAAAGGTTGATTTAGACCCAGCTTGTATACAATTTTACTAATTCACGGAACAGCAAAGTTTTGTTAGACTTTTGGAGCTCTTTTTGGTTGGGCCTAGGCAGGCCTTGACGGTAATGGTAATATAGAAGCAGGTAGGCCACCATCAACAGTACACCAATTAGAACCCGCTTTGTGTCTATAGGACACAGTCATGGACAGTTTGAAGAGTAAGTGGGACAGTTAGGTAGGTTAGAGAAATAATAGATGAGATGGCTGATGCTGTACCGTCAGCACACCTCTTGATGAGATTGAGAAGGCCCTCGGACCGACCTTGAGCCAAGGACGCTTTTATTCAGCATTGCTGATGGTAACCGTGACATGGTCAGTTCTAGTAGTCTCCAGTATGCTATTCCTAACGACTGTATAATTGTTTATCTCATTTTAAATGATCGTTAATTCATCCTATGACAGAAAGTTACCACGGAAAGCTCGAGAGACTGTTCATGAGACGAAATTCATCTTACCTTCCACGAGGACCAGAATCTAATCGTGCGTTTGAGCACTGACTCGGAAGCCTTGGATAGTAAACTGTCCAGCTAACGAGAACTCTAACAATCATGACACGCCTTCCAATAGGATAGGGTGAGGGGCAGTTGCCAGAGTCGCGAGTAACCCTGCACCCGCGAACACCACACGTACGGCTAAGGTGCTGGACGCCGTCGCCATACCATCGAAAATGTTAGCTGCTGGTCCCTACTTTGGGCAGCGACAGAGACATAATCTTACAACCATCAGGTCTCCCTTAGCACTTCCCGAAACCTTAAAGCAGTAAGAGTTAAAGCTTGGTCCCTCACTTTTTCCGTGCACATAAAAATGTAAGGACTGTTTATAGCGACTATTCTGAAGATGCCTCTAAAATAAGAAAGACAAAATATAACGCCTGTTGAAGTCAAGGGAAACTAGCTAAATTCGATACAAAGATGGCAATGTCACTACGAAGCAGAGCCGCATCGATCTATGCTTTCCTAGATGCAACGCGAGGAGTGGTTAGTTCTCCGAAAGCCATTTTTTTAGTAGCTTTCATATGGAGAAAGTGGCACAAGACTATATGATTCAAAGTCGAATAGACAGTCTGGCGTTTATAGAAAAGCCAATTAATGAATGTTTCGATTTTGTACCGTGTCTAGGTTAGCTATACCGGTCTCGTACCCTCTGTACCTCGGCAAGCGCTCTCTTATGTGCTTCCAGGGCCTGGCATCTGGATTAAGTCAACCTTGCCAACGACGACGCGCAAATCAGACGGCTCGACTTTTATTTACGGGCGGTTGACGGCGCCTCCGATATTCGTTTTGGCTGCCATTTGAGCTGACCAGATCGAGAGACGCCTTCCTGCCAGCGGTAGGGAGAGCTAGAATGGCCATGCCTTTCAGCAAAAGGTCATAATGTAAATATGCCACCTTTTTCTTCCATAGCCTTCAGGCAGCGACTGAAAAATTAAAATCAATTCTGCAACTGGATAAGCTTTATTATGCCACTCTCTAAGGACCTTTTAAATTTTTGTATGGCGTTTACGTATGTTTCGCTGCTTGTCTGCCTGATGGTTATATCAACATAGGTTGCATATGCGGTGAGTAGAGATGGTACCGGCCCCGCATTTTTAAGAGGTCAGTAGCCATGTCACGTCCCCATTTCGCTGGGAATGTACCGTGCAATGGGTACTGAAGTATTTTCATCCACATGAACCTGTTTGACTCCAAGGCATCTATGCATACATGTTTATTTGACTCCAAGGCATCCATGCATACATGTTTTTTTTTTACTCCAAGGCATCCATGCATACATGTTTATTTGACTCCAAGGCATCCATGCATACATGTTTATTTGACTCCAAGGCATCCATGCATACATGAGTAGTAGAGGAAAATGAGGGTTTTGGCCCACCACCCCCTCCCACACCTCCTCCCCCACCCCGCCAAACCCTCATTTCCCTATACTACTACTATGTAGACAGATATTTTGTAACCAGACAAAACAACAGGTGTTGGAATGCGATAAGCTCTGTCAACAGAAGTGACGAATTTGTTAGAACAGCGTATGTGTGGAATACGATTATTCTAAAGACGGCAAATAGGTTTTACCACAAATTTTTATCAGATAACAGGATGAAAATTAAACTGTGTATTAGAACGTTTCAGTTAACAAGGCGGAAATTAAACTAGCATTAGAATGAAAATGATATTATTTTATATCTCATTATCAATGATTAATGTTTAAACTGTTGATATTAAAAATACTTCACTATCACGACTATAGATACTAAATTTTACTTTACCGCTCACACAGCGATGGGACTCAAACAAATCTTACATTTCTGGTTTGTTCAGAGGATATTTTTTGTTGATAAAATATACCTTTGACCGATCGAGATCAATTGTGAGTTTAGTATAGTTTTGTTGGCTAATGGGGCTGTGAAAGTTTTTAAATTCCGCTAGCAACTTTTGATACAATTGTTCGAGATAATTGAAATACACGCTGTTATCAGATCTGATGAGCGAAAGTTTTAACTTGTCACGTGTTCCATTAAAACATATACCTGATGTTTCATTATTAAATTCAACTGTCAATTGTTTACCGTCCATCATTAGATATTTGATGTTACTATTGTAGCTATTTGTCATTGTCAAATTTTCAAACATTATTTTATAAGTTTAGATAAAATTTTAGTCACAATGAAAATACCCAAGGGCAAATGTATCTACTCCATTTTCACAATAACGTTTGTCATCAAAATTACACAATCCACGTTTGATAATGACATCTGTTTCAAGCTTATGATGATTAGTTCGAATTGTCATAGCTCTCATAAAACTAACACCGCCATCAAGCGCGTACTTGTAGTCATCAAATTTCATAAACTTTTTAACAAAATTCGAGGCAGACCTTTGGCT